CCTCCAGAACTGGATTGAGACAACTGCAGAGCTTTTCCTGTTTCTCCAAGATGAGATGGGCTAAATCTCAGGAGCTGTAGTTGGACCAAATCTCACCTTCCTTCTCCCCAGTCCAGCAAGCCTGTTCTCCATGCAGGAGATTTGTCACTGGGTAACTCCTCACACCGCATTTCAAGCGTGTAGGAGGGATGGGTAGGAGCTGGTTGTCCTCGCAGACACTGACTTCTGCCCCTGAAGCCACATGCAGTCATCCTTTTTGCAGTTGTTGAAGGGCACCTCATGGATAAATACCAAAGCACATTAAGGAGCAAGGCTGATAACACTGCAGGATATAACCAAGTTCATTTTTTCCCGAGAAAAATGCTTCCCAGTGGCACAACTGCCTTCCAGCCATGACAAATCTCAGGAGTAAGGTTGGCTTTGAACCCAAGTAACACCTCAAGTCAGTGAGCAAAACATCAGGTGGGGGCTGCAGGCTTTATCAAGTCCTTTGCAGCACCCAGAAATCAAAGTGCTCCATGGAGTGTACACCATGGAGTAGATGTCTTTATGTTGGAAGACCTTAGAGAAGGAGTTGACAGAAAATTCCCGCACATTGTCTGCCCTGGTCCACCCTTCTCTGTTGGCTGATAGGAGGATTGGGTAAGCACACTGCTCCTTCCCAAACATGCTTGAGGAGAACCGTGTATCTCCTGCAAGGAAAGGTCAGTCTTCCTCCACAGAAACCAAGCTCCTCTCTCCTTCCCATGTGAAACCTTCCCTCTGTCCTTCTGCTCCTGAAAGTAGGAGTTTAGCATGGGCATCTCCCAGAAAGCACCTTCCCGTGTCCACAGGGATTGCAGCCCTCTCCAGAGGAGCAGCAGGACCCAGTATCTGGGTTGGCCTTCCTGGGAAGCAAGGAAATATTTCTATATCAGGTGGGAGTTTGATGGCATCACTGCTCCAACTCAAACACATCCTCAAGGTGTAGGAAATCACATCTGGAACAGCAGCAGGCATTTTGGGTAGGACAGCCTTTGAGCTCCTCATTCATGCTCCCCTCGATCCTGTTACACCGGTGAGGATCGTTCGGTGGAGTGGATGCAGCCCATGCCACAGATGCTGTACGCAGTGGGTACTGCATCCCCAGGATTCGGGGACAGGACCCTCAGCTGGAGAAGACATGGGCCACTGTTGGGACTTGCCAACAGATGAAGCATAGACAAAGAAGAGCTGACACAAGGTACCGAGGTTTCACTTCAGTGAGGCTGTAGAGAAGAACCCAAGTGAACAGAAACCAACGAAAGTATTTGAGTCCCCAGTCGCCCAAAACCACTAAGACTCGGCGCAGCTGCACCGAGCAGCTCACCGGAGCTGCCTGGGGCCAGGCGAGGTGCAGGGACAGGTGCCTGGGATGCAGGTGCTGTCTCCGGGTCACGGTGCTCCTGGACACCACCAGCACCAGTGTCCTGCCGAAAGTTTTGGGGGAAAAGTATGAGATGTGCAGAAATTCCTCCTGGCTTTTACAAAGGCCACCACAAGTCTGGGCCAGAGCATCCCTTTGTGCAATCTGTCACGGTTACCTCGAAACCTGCTCCCATCTGCTGAAGCATCGGGTCCTTTGTGAGTGAGCATCAGCCTTGGAGGTTTCTGTCGTGCTGGATTTTGGGGGTGGGACAGAGCCAGGAAGTCCAGCTTGGGCCAAGCATTAGGCACAAACTCAACTGCAAGTCCTACCTGAGCAAAAACACACCGGCATTATCCTTCTCGCATCCCACCTCTGCCGTAAGACCCTGTCCCACAGTTTCCTTCCCAGTCCCTCCACACCCGCCAGCTGTCCTCTCTTGGGCATGGCTTGGAAGCCCTTCAGGACAGGAGCCGTGCTGCTGGTTTTATGGAGCGAGGCACAGCACGGTCCGAAACCGAGCCTGCCGTAAGACCCTGTCCCACAGTTTCCTTCCCAGGCCCTCCACACCTGCCAGCTGTCCTCTCTTGGGCATGGCTTGGAAGCCCTTCAGGACAGGAGCCGTGCTGCTGGGGTTTTATGGAGCGAGGCACAGCACGGTCCAAAACCGAGCTCTGGGCTCTGAGGCATGATGGTAATGTTAAAAATAAACAGTGCAGCCAAGTCCAACGAAAGGTACCTCTGCTCCCCGCTGCTCTTCCGCGGTCTTGGGGTGGAAATTGAAAGAGCCCTGAATACGTAGCAGGTGGCTCCAGGCGAGCACAAGATGGTGGTTTCTGAGGAAGGACTTGCACCAGGACATCTGGGGAAACCGCAAGTGGTGTTTATGGTGTCCCAGCCTGCAGCCTGTCACGTGTTTCACAAGCGGGCACGTGTTGTTCCAGCGCAGACCGCAGCAGGTATCTTGCTCCCACCTTCCTCCCCCTCCCCCAGCAGGCACCTCACCCACGGGGAGGTGAGCCTTCCTCACTCTCTGAGGGAGCACCAAGGACCGAAACAGGATTAAACCCCAAGACGGACACCGTGATGGTCCTCAGGAGGAGCAGGGAAAGGCTGGGGATGAATGCTGATGATGAATGATTGCACCTACAAGGTGCAATCCCCACCTCTGTGACCAAGCATCCCACAAGAGCTTACAGGAGTTGGGAACTTGGCTGCACCGAGGATCCTGGTGCATCCTCAAAAATCTTGGTCTGCAGCCATCTCTGCTCACAAGCACCAAAGCCACACGCCACAATGCCTGCAAGGGCGCAGGCAGGACTACAAGCATCCCGTCAATACAGTTGAGCCACGGAGAACAGCTTAGCCATAGAATGAGGTGCTCATAGCATAAATAGCTTGGGATGCAGGGCTTCCCTTAATCCCCATGTATAACCACAGCTTCAGCTGGGTCTTCTGTCTCAGAGCACTTCTTGGGTGCTGTAAGTTGTGTTGTCCACTGTGCACCCATTGCTTTTTGGGCCAGAGGCTGTAACTGCTTACCCTGGAGGGACCCCAGGGGAGATCACATCAAGTCCCACAAGTGCTGAATGCTTAATTGTTTTAGGGAGGCTTTGGTGGGAAGGCTGAGTTCATCACCCCAAAACAATTAGCAATCCTGCAGACAGGACAATGTCCTTACAGAGGTGAGCTGTGGTTAACTCGCTCCAGGTCAGGATCTTCACATCTTAATCAAGTTCTGACCATGCACTTGTGTTTGGGGAGGTCTCCATCATTAATAGCAAAAAAGGGCTGATCTGCTTTAATACTCAAGCAAGGGAGACAGCTTTGCATCCATCTCCTCAGGAGATGGTCTCCACCTGCCTGGATCTCCAGGCATCCCCTTCTCAAGTGCCTACATCCCCCAGTACCTCGGGTACCAGGGTCACCTCTGACCCAGAGCACACAGCAGAACCTGCTGTGGGGAAGGAGCTGGAGTTCATGTTCGTCCTTCACAGGGGCAAGGGGACAGACCAAACACGCTCCTTACACCCTTCCAGAGCCTCTTGAGGTATTGCCCCCAGGCTCAGGCTTGAGATGAGGACAGATGCTCAGTCTCCCCTGCTGGCAATATTGACTGTGGTGTTTCACCAAGGCAGATGCTTTTTTTTCCCCTTGGTTCTCCCCAAAGAATGCCTGCTAGACAGGGCCATGAAAAAGGTGGATGGAGAAGACAGTGGGGAAAGACTCCACCAGGCAGTGAAGGGACTACAATGACTTTGAGCAGGACCACAAATAACCACCCTCCCAATCCCATGACCTTGGAGCATCACAGCCCAGGTCAGCGCTAAGGGCATGCAGGTCAGTGGTGTGGCCGATGAGCAGGAACCTATCCCCACGCTCCCTGGAATGAAGGCTCTACAAGCAACAGCCCTTCCCTCTCTCCATTGTATTAAAGCATTTTGGCTCGTTCCTCTCCTGTCCCAGAGAGGAAGCCGAGCAGTTATGGAGCAGGAGGGAGGTGACAGCAGAGGCTTAACACAGACCACACCACAGAGACCACCAAGGCAGGAGCAAGTCAGAGATACCAGATTCTCCCACCAAAGACATGACACCCCACCCATTACAACCAAAAACCACACTGCAAGAGAAATACAAAACATAGCACTTTAATTGCAGTAACATTAAAAAAATTACAAAAAAAATTTAATAAACCTCAGGCATAAAATAAATAGGCAGCTTAGTAGCACACACACATGTGCAGTCCTGGTTTGTGTCAGCTGCAAGCAGCTCCCCAGCGCTGGGTGCACACACAAACCATGTTAATGAGGATTTACACATGGATGCCGCTGCCTGGTCACGCTTGGGAGAGACCAACATGTGTGTTTGGGAGGGTGAAGCCAACTTACTCACACTATGCTGCAATCTTTAAAATTAAAGATATTATATATTTATATAAACTCCTGTTAGGAAAAATTAAGATTCCTAGGTTCTTATGTTCAATGTTTACATATATAATCTCTGCATTGGTTTCCAAATCTCAAAATACTTTGCTATTACAGATAAACATATAAACCTCACAGCAAAAATACAGAGGAATTTCAGAAGGGTCTCCTTGGAAGGCATACTCTCAACAGGACACTCTGGGGAAAAGACCTGATTTTTGAGAATTCCCTACATTTAAGCATTTTAAGGCTTTTCCAAGAGTCACCTCCTACCAAATCACTATTGTGAACAAGGTCCAAGTCACAGACTGGTGGGGCAGGTTATTATAGCTGTTGATTCTGAGTTCTGCTTGACTGGCCATAAACAAAGGCAACACAAAGCCCTCCCAGCCCTAGCCTTCACACACAGCTCAGACCTTCCTCCTCCTCCCCCTGCCATTAGCTATAGACAGCAGGACATGGACTACCCTGCTTGTACAAAAGTCATTTCTATCAGTAAAGTGTCTGCAGGACAGACCCTAAGCAGCCAACCTACTTTCTCATAGCAATTTTTACTGGTGTATTTATACAGACTCTGGACTGGAATCAAAGAACAAGAACCAACTTTCCAAAAGGGAAATTTAGGCACTAGTGAGACTAAACTGGGTCTAGATCAACCCAAGCCACCATGCTATGTCTGCAGAGAAGGAGGCTCAGACAGCAATCTGTTGGTTTTCTCTGAAGAGTGGCCGCTGGTGCATCCCACAGATGTCCTGAAAGATCCTGTACACCTGGTCATGCTGTGTCTCATCAGCTATGGGGAGCATGGGGCTGCTGCTGCAGGTCTTCCCAGCCTCCTCCACCACCTGCCTGACACACAGCTGCTCCACCTACACAAAAAGAAAAGTTAGAAAGACACTGAATGAAGAGGAACCTCTTTGAGCATCTCCCACTGCTGCCCAGGTAGCAGGGTATGGGGTGGGAGAGATACAACACAGCAGCTGTGCCCAGACCCAAGTGGCCAGGTCCAGCCAGGCCAACAGGTCCAACTCCACAAGCACCTCTAGGAAAAGAGAAGCAGTCACAAGACCTCCTGTCCCAGCAGAGCTATAGGCAGGAAAGGACAGGCTAGGGGACTGTCCCAGCACATGCAGAGTGATCTTCTGGTGCAAGAAGAGGTGACCAGGTCACAAAGTCATGCAAGGAGGCATAGGACCAGTCTCTGAACTTGTAAAATCCCCTCCAGGACTTCACAGGCTTGGTGGGTCTCTGCTTGCTCAAGGGTGGATGGAACACCCTCCCTGTGCCATGTCCCTGCCGCCACAGCCTTGTTGGCCCAAGGGGTCCCACACTGGGCGCAGGCTCCAGAAACACCTTATGCATTACCCCAAGGCTTTGGGATCCCACAATTGCTTCAGCTTCTCCAGGGAGAAGTTTCTGGCCAGAGACATGGGGACTGCCCCCCTCTCATCCCATCCCTTCCTTCATCCTCCTGAAGGTTTCCTTAACTCCACCACTGTCCACCACATCTGCTGGCTGTTCAGCTCAGGCTGTCCCTTAACTCAACCATTCCAGGTATTTATTTCCCCATTTCCCACAGGAGAAGGCAGAGGTCCTAGTGCCAAGAAACAGGAAGAGAACAGATTTCCCAGCAGTTTAGAAAAGCTTTTGCCATTTGAGAGCTTTCTTCGCAAACATGATCAACCCAGATCAAGGGGACCCACAAGCAACAGCCCAAGCACCTCTGGGGAGGCTGTAGATAAGCCAATACTCATGCCACACCTGCCACCCCACCAAAACAGGCATACAGTCTGTGGCTCCCGGGTTGAAGCCAGAGCCCTACTTTTGAGGTTGGAGAAGAGGGCAATATGGTCCAACAAGGAGGGGGGGAAATTCAGCAGCAGAGCTCTGAAGGGCAGCCCTCCGTACCTGGACAAGGATGAGCTTATACCGCAGGGGCACCGTGTCTGGGAACTCCTCTCCAAAGCACAGTATGACTCTGCTGTCCGGGAAGCGGCCCTGGTTGTTGTAAAACTGCTGGAGCTCTGCAAGGAGAAAGGAACAGTTGGAGGTTGCCCGCCACAAGCCACCAGCTTCAGGACCAAGCACCCTGCCATGGCAGCAAGCTGTGGGCTCAAGAGAAGCCAGCTTTGTTGTGCAAAGCCTCCAGCCAGGAGGAATTTCACAATGACACAAGACACCAGGTTACTCCTTCCTGGATCTGGTAGCATCAGCTCCTCATCCAGAGCACTTGGGTAACCCACCAGAAATGACTTCAAAGTGCTCCAAGGCAAAGGGCTCCACCCTTTCAACCCCACCAAATGGATGGGGAGAGAGGAATGCTCCTACGAACCTCTGAAGAACAAGCTGGTGTCAAATATCTTCACCACCTCATCCCGGTCCAGTTTGTTGGGCCTGTCCTTGTAGACCATGGTGTTCCCACTCCAGAAGACCCTGCCCTGGCACAGCCTCTTGATGAAGATGCCTTGCTTGTTGCTGTGCAGCAGGACACCCCTCTCCAGGTGCCCAAAGAGCTTCCTGGTGATCTGCTTCTGGCGGTCGTTCTGGATGGTGTCAGCCGAAGGGAACCGCACATGCTCCAGGGCATCTGGGGCATACAGCTTCTCACCATGGCTGGAGGGCTGGCTGAGCGAGATCCGGCAGCCCTCGGTGCACGAGGTGGTGATGTGGCCCACCAGCCTCCCGCTGTAGAAGAAGTTGATCACCATCTGGGAGTAACCTAGGAGGGGATGGGCACACATACCACCCATCAGGGAGAGACAAACCCTGCCTGCTCGGCCATGCAATGCCCAAACCCCCTGAGAGCAGCAAAATTCCCCAGGAGCAAGGTTCATTTGATGGAGACCTACTTGCTAGAGGACATCTCCTCCAGCACTCAGCCCAGTAGTGAGCAAGAGCTCCCACTACTGAACCCCCTCCCCTGTCTTTGCTCCACACGTCCCTTGTCACAGGCAGATCTCCCCACACTAAGGCACAGCTGATCCCAGCATCCCGGGGCAGCTTCCCCCTTGCCACGGCCACAGGACAAGGGGCAGGATGCGTCCCCGCTCAGTGTGCAAACCCCGTGGGTACTCAAGAGGGACACGGGACCTCCCAAACCCAGAGCAAAGCCTCCCCCAAGGCAGAAAGCAGAGTCAGAGCCGCCTTCTAGCCACCGCACACGAGAGCCCCAGAAGGGCTTTTGATGGCCACAGTCCACAGCCGAGCAGGGGAGCTGCCTTACCTGAATGATGCTGCTCGTAGCCGGAGTATCCGTTCATCAGGGGCAACGCTGTGGGCAGAGAAAGCCGAGCTGTGCCTGCGTGCCGGGCTCCCAAAGCCCGATCTCCCCCTCTCCTCCCCACCAGCCCTCTGGTTTTCTCTCCCAGGCACATCAGGCTTCCCAGCTCCCCCACGGGAGATGCCAGCAAATACTCCCACTTACACTTAATCTTGTGCAATGTACACTCTTGGGTTCCTGCTACCAACCACAGCGTTCAAAATTAGTACGTTAAGTACTCTTAATAAGGAAGATAAATACGGCTGTTGTCCATTATCCATTGCTGTACAGTAATTTTTTCCTGCCCCAAACAAAAAGCTCAGCCCCATTAAACACCACACACGCTGTCACCTACTTACCAGGGCTGGGCTGCTGCACCCACCAGTCGGGTATCGGGGGGTTCCTGCAGGTCTCCTGGGGGGGCGAGGGGCTTCTCTTGATGATGCCCAGATATTCATCTACGCTGGGGGGCTGTGTGAGACCAGAGCAGGTTTGATGCCTTGGACAGCCACTGCCCTGCACTGAGACACTTGCAGCGATCGTAGAGGGTCCACACAGCAATACCAACGGGGGGTCAGGGAACTTTTTTGGTTAGAAAGAGCACATTTGACATTCCCCAGGCCACACATTCAAACAACACCCTCAAGAGTGACTGAGCAGAAGCAGCCCAAGGTGACACAGCTGAAAAGGGAAACAGAGCTGCTAAACAGCCTCCAGCAAAGGTCTCACCAGCCCAGATGCAAATCAAAGCACAAGCCATTCATCAGCACCCACGTCTGCGCTGGCTCACATGAATGAGCTGCAAAACCCAGCATCGCTCGCCAGGCCGACTCCCAGAGCTTTGCAGATTGAATGTTAGGGAGGCAACGCTTCATCGGGCAACTGCCTGATACCAGTCCACGGCAACCTGCAGCCACAGCAAAGGTTTACCTCTTTAATGAGCTCATCGATCGCAGAGGAACTGCAGTCCATCTCTGTGACGTCATTCAGGCTGCTCCCATTGGCAATGCCCGCTTTGCCTGGAAGGAGAGGCCAGGACGCAGTGAGCACATCCACCCCCCTGCCACGGCTCATCTCGCCGCTGGGTTTTAGAAACCCTTCACCCCGTGAAAGTTATGAAACCGAGAACCACAGCAAAGCGGAGCCATGTAACAAGACCTCAGGGAACTCGCAGCCCCCCTCCAGCTCCACGTAGAGCTGCTTTTCAGGACCAAAAACCAGTTTCCAACCAGTTATCCCAACGCAGCCTGATCAGCAACAAGGCAAATCAAAAATCTGGCCGGTAGCAGGGACAGAACTAGAGTAGAGGGTCTTTTTTTCTGAACACCCCAGAGACCGGGGCTGCCGCTGCTTCTCCTTTTTCCACCAGCCACCCCGAGCGCAGTCGTGCTGCCGGTGGGAACCTGCAGTACCATTTGCATAGCAGCAGCACGCCCCCCGTGTGAACATGGCTGGAGGAGACCGAGATGCTAAAGGCAGATTTCCTGACAGCAAGCTTTTTTTTTCACAAGTTTTTTTACTTTTAAAAAAAGGAAAAAGCATACACATGCCTAACCACAAATAGAGATATACTTAGCGCAACCTGCGCCACACCAGACATCGCAGCAGCAACTGCACTCTGCAAAATTACTGCTACTCTAATCATGGCTGGCAAGAAGGGATTGTTGCAGCTCCATGCCATCAGCCCAGGGCAGGCGTTGGGAGGACAACGGGCCCAAGTACCCCCACCAAGGGGAGAAGAATTTTGGATTTGCCTCTACAACACCCTTACAGGATGGAAGCTTACACAGCGATACAGTTATCCCCTAAGCAGCTGTTTGGAGGGAGAGAAAAAAATCTTGTCCTTCTTCCTCCCCTCCTGCCACTGCAGTGACACAGGGGACATCTTTTGCAAAGCAGGACAAGCAAAGCATCACGGCACAAGAGCAGAGCCTGGCCAGGAAGCTCCTGTGAGATGTAGGTCAGCAGCACAAGCCTGTGGTTACTCGCAGGACTGACCTACACATTGGGGTCAGTCCCTCATCAGGGCACTCACATTTCTGTTCCTCCTCCGGCACAATCCTGTAGACCTTGTAGGGCTCGGAGATGTCCAGCTGGGACCTGTCTGTCACCTCCTCAAAGTCAGGGCTCTTGTTCAAGGCACAGCGCAGTCGTGTCTTCCACGTGGCCGGCTCCGCTTTGTCACCTTCTTTGAACTTGCCTTTGAAAACAGCCCAGGCCTAAAACAAAGCAAGAAAAAAAAAATCCTCCACATGAGCTCTGCAAACCCCCTCAACCCCCAGGGCAAAGGAGCTGCAGAGATTTTGCATTTTGCTCTCCCCACCTCTGCCCCTTGCACCCACTCAACCATCCCATAGGTATTCACCGTTTCGCTCCTAGACTGCGGACACGTGCACGGCTGCCGCACGTGGGGACGGGTATCTGGGTGCAGAGCAGCACCACCCACCCCAGCGATGCACCCAGGCACCGGAAGGGCTGCAGCACCCAGGGTTTATAAAGCAGAGGTCAAGATCATATTATTGCATTATATCTTATTATGTGGCTTCATCTCTGCACACAGATGTCAGGAGCTGCCGGGGATGCGAGGAATCACTGCTGAAGCAGTGGTGTTCCTAATGACCTGGCAATACCTCCGTTAACAAAATAAAAATCAAAGTAAGCCACGTTTTCCAGCTCCTGACTAATAAGTAAAAGCTGGTTTCTTTTTAGATTAGAACATCATTTGTGCTTTTGGTGGGAGAATACGTTTTACCACTGAAGGGAGACTGCAAAATATGGATTATTTTTTAAATATACATATTTTATAGATATTTATATATTTCCAGACAGCTGAATTTAATGCCATCCTCATAACTCAGCACTCCCAAACCAGCCACTGAGCAGCTGTCACTGTCCTGAAAGTGAACTCCCTCACCAGCACAGACATTTGGCAGCAGGGGCAGAGGAAGGGAATTCCTGGGGGAAGAACCTGACCTTTTTGGTTCAGGATGGAATTTTCCAGTTTTTCCCCAAAACTGGAAATCCCCCCTCCCTTCCATGAAATCCAAACCTTCCTTCCCTCCTGCAAAGTCTTTTTGTCTTTTTTTTTTTTGTAAATCCAGCCTTTTATCAAGGATAGCCCAATAAGAAATTTAGAGCAGGTCAAAAGGAACACGTCAAGCTCCTCGCTACCAGGTGCATCCTCAGACCAGGATGCAAACATGCTGAAAACAAACCCAAACCTGGCACCGGCATTTGGCAAAGAGTAATAAAAACTCCCAAAAGAGCCTGGAGACCAATTGCAGGGTGAAGCATCTCCTGCAGGGATCAGAGATGCAAAACCCAGAGACAGCGTGGACATCTCCCACCAGCGGGACTGTCAGCAAGGCAAAAAAACCAGCATTGCCAAGTCCAGGAATTGTGGAGAAGAGGTATTCACTATCCGTCCCTACCTTGAAAATAGAGGCATCCACCTCCTGGTTGTAGTCCTGCTTCCCAGCGTGTTTCCAGGGGATGCGGAACATGGTTTTCTCCTCGTTCTCCCAGATGAGCCCAGGGTACATCTCGCTGTCGATCTGCTCGATCAGCCACTGCCGGAGTCGCCGCCCGCTGTTGCGGTCGCACATCCTGGATGGAGCGAGAGGTCCAAGCCCTGTTAGCTCCCCCAGCACCGTCCCACCACAACTGGGGTACGAGGGATGGTGCCGTGCTCCAGTTTGCCACACGCACGGCTGGTAGTGGCCCTGCCTGCAGGGACAAACAGCTCTCGGTGTTTGACCCTCTCTGCAGGTCCCACATCAACATCTGCACATTAAAATCCCATTCTGCTTCTTTTATAATGAAAAAAGATCAAGGCGATTTCCTCTGAATTACTACAAATTCTCCCTCCAGCTCTACCAAAGCTCTGCTCACCGAAACAAGCTGACTCGGTGCTGCGCTTACTCCGTTTTTTGCTGCGGGATAAGTCACATACGAATCAGATGGACAGGGATCAAAGTGCCCAGTTGTGCTGTCACCTCAACAAGTGACACCAGACAGGCCACCCCGGGGCAGACACCCGTTAGCACCTGCAGGAGATGGAGCTAAGCACCGTCCCCAGCTGGTCTTGGCACAAGGGTCTGTCCCGGAGGAGACAGCGGGTGCTCACACCGGGCATTGCCTTTTTGGGGAGCAGGCACTGGTTCCAGGCAGCACCCGGAGTCACCGCAGGGATGGGGCCACACAGCCAAGCCTCTCAAACACAGGATCGACCCATGGAAGGAGCAGGGTGACATCAAGCCACCGTTGCAGGGGACCTCAGGTCATTTTTAGCCAAAAACACTGATTTCAGGGAGAAGCCAGGAGAAAGCTTCTCCCACCCAGCTGGAAGCAAAGTACCAGGCTTAAGCCTCTCAGTATCCCCCATCACCTCCATGGCAAGACCTGCAGGGACTTAGGAGCTGGTGGCCTGGCAGAAGTGGCCAGCAGCCTGACCCTCCAGG